TATGTGCCTACGAATATGTACACGCATCCACGTTTTTTTTTCCCCAAATGCACATTCAATCGTCAACATGTGCACTTGGGTTTAGGTGTGTCTGTATGTTTATTTGTAGTTGATGAACACAGAAGAGAGAAAAAACGGCCCTGAAATTCCTGCACATCATTCTCCCTCTCCTCAAGTTCACTCGTAGTAACAGTGAAGCCGCGAGGACAACTGGTGAAAGAGGGGAAATACCTCCTGTTATGAGGACTGGATTTGTCCGTCTGTCTGTCTTCTCTTTTGTTCTCTTTCTCTCTTTCTCTCTCTCTCTCTCTCTCTCTCTCTCTCTCTCTCTCTCTCTCTCTCTCTCTCTCTCTCTCTCTCTCTCTCTCTCTCTCTCACTATTTCTCTCTATTTCTCTCTCTTTCTCTCTCTCCACCTCTCTTCTTTCCTCTTTCTTTCCTCTCTCTTCTTTCCTCTCTCTCCTTACCTCTCTCTCTCTCTCTCTCTCTCTCTCTCTCTCTCTCTCTCTCTCTCTCTCTCTCTCTCTCTCTCTCTCTCTCTCTCTCTCTCCCCTACCCTTTTTAAGGCTGATACATATACAGACAAACTTATTGCTAGTACAAGCATTTCAGTGCTATATATTTATCCATCATTTTTGTTGTTATTAGATAGATTTTCCTGCAGGAATGGAAGTAACTCACCTGGACCTCATGGTTTAATCAATGGTGTTTTTCTCATTTATTTTTCTTCCTTGATATCTGATTCATGGCTTGAGACGGAGATAATAATCTTCGGGGATAGTTCTGCGTATCCATTAATTAGGACGCCAGTAATCCAGGAATATTACCAGCACGGGAATGGGTGGATATTCGAGGAAAATGAGAGCGGAAGGGATGACTATGAAGTTATTTTGGAAAAATAGCAGAGGAAAAAAATACTGGAGCTATAATGATACTGTAACACAAGGAAGTTGTTTGACATGTGAACATGAAGGACATACAGATACTAAAAACAAAAAGAACAAACATAAAGGTTTTATCCATTTACCGACATATTAAGTAGGAATTCCGCATCCACTGTTCGTCTCTTTAAGTATTTTCTTGAAAACAGTTTATACATCAAGAAAGTTCTCTAAGAGAGCACACTCTTCCAGTGTAGAAACAAGTACGGAGAGTCTGACAGAAGGCAAATTATGGAACCCCAGAGGAAAAATCTTTTAAGACGTGCAGCAACACAGAAAATTGGAATAACAGTCGCTTTCTTTGGTGCAACAGTGAATAAAAGCCAGGCTGTTAACCGTATGCTGGTATAAAAGGAAAGGGAGAAATCCGCATCTAGCAGAGTGGATTTTCAAAATAAGTGGAGATTTTGGGGTTTACCTTCTATCTCTGATCCATTTGGTAGTGGCTCGGTAGGTCAAATTTTTGATGCACGGTCACGTTTGGTAAAACTTGGGTGAACTACTTGACCCCCAATCCCACCCCGCGACTTAGGTACAACTCTTTTATGTCCTCTGTGGGTATTAATAATCACACTTATTCGAAATCTCCATCAACCAACATTAAACAGCCCTTTCTTACTTTCCGGAATAGGCCGTTCCTGCTACATGTTAAACCTGAAGCATGTGAACCTCGCCAGCTTGAATGACGGACAATGAGAGCGCCGCAAGTTGGCCCTTAATTTGAGAAAGTTGGCTCGAATGTGCTCATATTTCAGACCCGTCAAAGAAGAAAGAATTCCTTAGGTAGCGTCCGGGATCTCGGGAGAGAAATTGATTGATATTCTAATATTTTAACAAAACTATTTCTCAGTTCATAAACGAAGGTGAATCATATTAAGCATTCGTTACAAATAATAAAGAAAAGAAATAGATAGGAGCGGAGGAGCTCGCGCGTGGTTGAGGTACATTATCGCCGGATGCTGAAGCACTTTGCGAACTTTATGCTAATGTAAGGTATCAGATGCAGAGGGGAAGAAGGGGGGGGGGGTAGGAGGTTGGTAGGGGGAGATGAGGCAGAGAACATGAGGTCGAGGAAGAGAATATGAAGTTTCAGCCAAAAAATAAGAAAATTTAAGAAGCAGGGAAAGATAGATTGAGAGAAGAAAAGGAGAATGTAGAATGATTGAAATGGGTAAAAAAAAAAAAAAAAAAAAAAAAGATTATGAGAGAAGTAGGTAAATGGTCAAGGATGTAATCATTTGCAACATGGTGAAAGCACAGCTATTCCAGGAGAAAGCATTCGTATTGCAGTGCTATTCCCTTAACGCAGCTGTCGAGGGATAAAAGAACTATTCTTCATCTGACTGTCTCGCTCAGGGAGGTAGAACGATGTTTTATCATATTTCATACTTATACACATAGTATACTAATAAATGAACTTAATTTCCGATTAAGTGCGTCGATATATTTGTTATGAATTCCGTGACTGTATACCCCGGAATAGCAACTTTAAAGACACTTTCAGCTTTTAATCGACAAATCGAGGTCGATTCATTGCCATTATAATTCACCCAGATGTTCCGCAATTTATGATCACACATTTTATTGGTTCAATGGTGTGAGCGATGCACTGTATGCACGTGAAATGTCACCATCCTTTCCCTGCTTTCTTTCTACCTCCCTGTTTTCCATCAGACTGTGAGAGAATGTACGAATCAGAATAAAGAATATAAATTTACGAATATTATACCACGTGATTTCTCATTGTATTTTTTTAAAATACGGAAAAAATAATGCTGAACACGGCTTATCTGATGAACAGAAATAAAAGGGAAAATTGGGAGGAATTGGGCATATCGATAGAGAGAGAGAGGGGGGGGAGGGGGGGAAGAGAGAAGAGAGAGAGAGAGAGAGAGAGAGAGAGAGAGAGAGAGAGAGAGAGAGAGAGAGAGCGAGAGAGAGAAAGAGGGGGGGGGAGAGAGTAGAATAGAGGCAAATATACAGATATATAGACGTGACCGAAACAAGAGGCCACGAGGTGGGAAGGATGCAGATGACCCATCTCTTCTTCATTTCCGTTCATAGCTTTGCTAGATTCTCCTTCGTTTAAGTTAGCTGTACGATGATTTTTCCATAGAGTACCTTTAAGCCGGCATTTAAATCGGCGAATGGGAAACACACATGGCCAGAGTTTGTTGCACCTACCTCCTTGCATTAATCGCAACGT